TTTACCGTAGAATCTGACCGTTTTTTAACAGCAATTTTTTACAGTGCAGTATTCACTCTATATTTACTTTTTCTTGATTTAAACTGTCCTTTAATTCCTTTCTAACCTCTACTTCTTCATGTGCTTTTGCTTTTTGTATTGATTTACTCATTTTAATCGTATACTTTTTAATTTCATATTTTGTGTTATCCCACCATATTCTTTTATCTTCATGATACATCTCATTTTGTATTTCAGTATTTATCAAGTCCACTATTGCCTTTTTATAAGGTTCTCCTTTTAAAATTTCTGTATTTAAAATCCATATCCCTTTTCCTCTTTCGGTTTCATTAAAATCAATCTTCATTAATAAAAACTTGTGGTCGCTTAGCGCTGTTCTTTAAAATAAACACTCTATAAAATCACCCAGTTTTTCCTTGCATAAAATAAAATCAATCCTACTTTCCTTTAAGTTACCAGCTACTAAATGTCTTCTTGAATATTCTCTTTTTCCTTCATTCCTTACTCTCCATATGTCCACTACTTTGTGCTCTGCCATTAGTTTCTGCAACTCTTTTCTCCCAGTGTCATTCCTAAAAACCATGCCATCCGCTAAATCAGTTCTATTAAAAACCGTGTTAAAATATCCAATTAAAATAGTTTCTCCCCATAAAATCATTAGATCATTTATGCAGTTTAAAAAAGTCCTTCTTTTCTTTTTCTGCTACTGGAGCATGAATGTTACATAATGTTGTATTATTTTCTCTCATTCTAATAGCAAGGCATTTTCCCTCTTTATCATTGTATATTTCTTCCACATCATTCTTTATATCTTCTTTGACTAAAATAGCGACCCCTCTTCCCATCCTTCCATCACCATTGTTATAAAATATATCCCCCCTCCATCTCCTTTTAAAATCTTCCATCACGCCATTATTCCAATTAGTCTCTTGTAAACAAATTAAGTTTTGTTTTTTGCACAGTTCCTTTACCTTGTCAAATTTTCCAACATTCAAAAGACCTCTTGTATTAAAACTAACACAATTAAAAACCATTAAAAGAAAAGCTAAAAATAAAAATAAATACTTAAAATTAGTGCTACCAAAATTAACGCATGCGATTAATTTTAAATAATTAACGCATTAAAAAAAATTAACGCATGCAGGTTTTTTTACTTCCTGTTGTGGTAGACATGTGTTCAACATGCAATAAATGTGGATAAGACCAAGGAAGCACTTTTTGAAGGAAAGTTCCAGTATAAAACAATTAGGTACATCACAGGTTATCCAGAATTTCATGCAATTTCGGGTGTTTCATTTTTAACTTTCGACTTCTGTTGTAAGTTGATACCGCATGGCGAACAGAAACAAAATCATCCGCATTTCATGACTCGGTGTTCCTTTAAGGTACGGTTCCTTTTAAGGCTACACGGTAAAATTTTAATAAGAGTATTATCTTAATCATATTAAAATCGGAGTATTGGTGTCTTACGTAAATGTACTCAGTACGTCTGGTGAAGTCGCGAGCTGTCAAAGACAGGGCATTACTCTGCCTTTCAGCATGAGCCCTCCAAGTTTAGCGTGTTTCCTCATTAAACGCAACGAAAGCGTATACTTCGCGTTGTTGTGTCAGAATCCTTGTGAAATACAGTAATACTTTAGGACGCTTAGTTTAAGCAAATTTGATGAACTTGATCATGCGTGTTGAATCTGAGGGGAGTCGCTCCAGTATGGAAGGCCGTTGGGGCCAAAACGTCTGCAGCGCGTTGTGTGTGTCTTTCTGTGTGTTTGTCTGTGTCAGACCCGTTGAGGGGTGTCAGGGGTGGAGTGAGCGACGTATCTGAGTAGGGGCGAGAGGGGTGTGCAATGTATTTAACGACTGGTTTGCAAGAAATTATCATTCATTTGCGGGCATTTGGGACTCTCTGTGCACTTGCGGGATACTCCTAGTCTTAGCAACTGGATGAATGTAAAGGAGGATTAAGCAAAATTGTTTCTACTCTATAACTAATGTTCTCAACTCACAGCAATAAAACTTTACAATGAGTGCAACAGTTTGTATCCTATAGTTTATTATTATAATTTTTCATTTTCCATATCTGCAATTCCTGTATTTTGGCATTTTTTTGCAGTCCACTTAGAATCCAACATGGAAATCAATGTTTTCTTTATTGGCATTGATTGTTTTGAAATTTAAATGTCATTAACATGCCTGCGTTTTAATTTCTGTAATAAATATGGCTGTCAAGCCAGGATCTTGATGGTTTATTGTGGGTATGTTGTTTGCATGAAGAAATCTGTGTTACAAGTTAAACAAAAATTCTATTAAACAATTATATTTTGAATTTAAATAATTTTTTGTCTTGCGTTTACATTAATTTTACATTTAAATAGGCAAAATTACAAGTTTCAGTATTTTAAATGAGATTAATCGCGATAAATTTTTTTTAAAAGGTGCGATTAATTAGTTAATTTTTTTTAATCGATAGACAGCACTAATATATACAGGGAAAGCTGCCCTCATATCGAACACACACTCACATATGCATAGGCTTATATTATTATTTTAAAAAGTAACAGAAAAAGGGCACTTTCTCTCCAGAAGGAAAAAGGGGCTCTTAATACAATGTGTGCCCCATTCCTATCTCTCCGCACCCCTCGTTGAGAACCAAGAGAATCGCTTTCGAGGTTAACTAGGCAGCCGCACACTTGACCCGTGTGCATAGAGTAGGTGAGATCAAAGTCCCTTTAAGATATTCTATAGTCTTTGCATGAGCTGGGATGCGGGCAGTGGACCAAACCATTGTGAGGAAGGGAAGAGGGATCTCTCAGCTGTTTCTAAATGAATTTTTTTTTTGCGTTTTTATTTTTTAATTTGCTCCATCTTGCTTTTTTTCAAAGGACACAGATGTTTAATCAGCTGTTGTTCAGTGGTGAATTAGAAAACTTAACTATTTATATTAAGCATCACCACCGTCCACCCTACATCTACGCCCCTGTATGAAGTAGTGTTCTAGGTTATAACGATGCGTAAAGAATGCTCCGGCTTCAATACAGTGCGTTACAGTACACGACTGCCCCCTACTGTTCATGTCTTTATTTGCTAGACCATCTTTCCGTGCTAACGCGCCATATGTCGTGGCCATGCGAGATCACTTTGTTTCATGCGCGCGTTAGTTCATGCCAGATCTGTATATACATTTACCTGATTTTATTTTTTTACTTTTTGTTGCCCTGTCACCTGCTAAAAAAGCGGGGGATGTAGCTTATTGTGTGTCAAGTGACGTAACGGAAGTGGGTGGAGCTAGAGGGGAACGTCGGTGGTGGGAGCGACAGAACAGAAAAGCTTGTTACTGCTGAAGAACGTAATAAAAATAAGCTAGAAGCTATTACTTGTGTGTGTGTGTGTGTGTGTGATCATCTAACATCTACACAAGCCATCCAACTTCCCCTTCCACCACTACAATGTCCATCCATCCATCCATTTATTCATTTTATTTTGTGAATGTGTTATTTTTCAGGCTGATCTCCGAAATACAGTAATTTTTACTGACAGAATTTTAGGTGCAGGCTAGGACTGTCTCTGCCATTTGCAGATAACGTTGTCTTTTTGGCTTCATAGGACATGGAACTTCAGCATGCAGTAAGTGGGACTGTTTGCTGCTGAGTGTGACATGGCAGGGAAAGAAACAGCACCTCTAAGAAACCATTGTGCTTGACTGGAAAAAGGTGGCCATCTCCAGTTTGGAGGAGAGTCCTTACCCCAAATGGAGTTTAAGTATCAGTGTTTTCCATGAGGAATGGAATGTGAGATTTAAAGATGGATCAGTGCAGCGGCAGCAGTAATGCAGTTGATGTGGTTGTCTGTTGTGGTGAAGGATCTGAGACGAAAGGCAATGTTCTTAATTTACTGCTCATTCTAGGTTCCTACTCTCACCTATGGTCATGACTGAAAAGAACAAGATCTTGGATACAACCGGCCTCATTTTGCGAAGTGTTATGACCCGCTTGTTAGAGTCGCACCATAAGAGTGCCAACAAAATAGCCTGAATGCAAATTATTTATTATAAAAGTAACTCATAGAACAAACAATCAAAGCAACCAACAAATTTCTAGGGATAATAATGACGATAAAGAACTTAGGATAAAATCACAACAACACTTTAACTACATGACAAAAGTAATGCAAAACAAAACCATAAGGTTAAAGAGCCAATGAGATGGCAGGTCTTGACATGTGGACTCCCGAGTAGCCACAGTGTCCTGGGGTAGCTAGCACAACAACTTTTATATACCCATTGATGAGTAATGCAGGCATCCAATCAGAATTTACCACATGCTCTAATCTGGAGTCATCACAGTGTATAAATATTGTAAAACTTAATACCTGTCGCTCTGCCTAAATCATAAAATATTCATCAAGTTTGTATTCGACTCAAAGTAAATGAAGTAAACTAGAAAAATCTAGAATCTAAAAGTAAAGAAACTTCACTAATAAAAGCTGCAACACAGGACAATTGAATGGGCTTTTAAAACTTGAGGCCCTGGTATACTGCAAACTAAGCGTCCTAGAGCTCCACCTTCTTTGATGTGCGGTGTCTTCCCAGTGATGTCTCTCATTCAGGGAGTCAGACAGTGAACATCATCTAAAACAACACTAGCTACATGAATACACTGGAGAGAGTACAAATTTATCTGCACTGGTACAATCACTTGCAAAGAGATTTTAAGCTGCAGAGGAGCTGTTGGCCAGATGTTTATGACAATTCTTTTCTCAGCCACCACCACGGTGTTTACGGTAAACGCGAGAAGCGCAACACATTTACAACCCGACCTACTGCAGTGTAGGAGTGTTGGAAAACAGTATACTGTCACTCAGCCTTTTCAAACATTATTCAGACATGAAACATCCTGTGCACATGAGAAAATTTTTGCTGCATTCATGTCATGTGTGTAACTTTTTTCTCTATGTGTTTCTTAAGCTGCGCCGAATGATTAAAACTCTGTAGACACTGATCAGATCTGTACGGTTTCTCTCCAGTGTGAATCCTGTTGTTTTCAGATGTGTTAACTGATTAAACCTCTTGTAAAAACACTTGTACGGTCTCTCCAGAGTTAATTGTCTGGTGCAGTTTTAATTTTGGAGCTGTAATAAGTCTTCTCACACTCAAAGTGCATATACTCTTTCACATCAGTGTGGATTTTCATGTGTTTATTAAGGTTTGCTGATCGGTTGAATCTCTTCCCACACTGAGTGCATGTGAATGGTTTCTCTCCAGTGTGGGTCTTACATAGTCAAGTGATGCAATTTCCAAGGTCAAAGTTCACCAAGCTTGAACCTTGCAAGGCAGTGAATTGCGAAACTTGACGAACAAACTTACGTTTCCAGTCTGACACATTTGCGTGCGTATGAATGAAAGTCTATGGAGAGAAAAGTCCGGTGTGACCACAGACCCCAATTTTATCCTCCTTACACTGGCTGCCTGTTAAGTTTTGTATTAAATTTAAAATATTAATTCTCACCTATCTAGCTCCTGTTTATCTTCTGTCTCGCTACAATCCAACTCGCTCTTTAAGATCTCGAAACTCCGGGCTTCTGGTAGTACCTAGAATAGCAAAGTTGAGTAAAGGAGGTCGAGCCTTCTCATTTATGGCTGCTAAACTCTGGAATAGCCTCCCTGATAACATCCGAGGCTCAGACACACTCTCTCAGTTCAAAACTAGATTAAAGACCTATCTGTTTAGTAAAGCATACACTCAATGCATCACTTAGCGGGTTTCCACACAAGTTTCTACATCTTGCTTATATACACTATGAACAGCAGCTACGCTAATTATTCTTTTTTTTTCTTCATTTCCACCTGGGGATAATTATCCCGAGGTCCTCAGATTATGCGGAGTCACTGATTGGATCTAAGACCAGTGACGAGATGATCCCAAGGTTTCCATATCCGGGACCAGGCCGTATCCTGAGCTGCTGCTGCGCTGGTGGTCGTGGGGAGTGGAGAACATGAGACTGATTCCAGTGATGCTCCAGGGACAGACGAGTCTTCACTTAGGCCAGCTTCCAGCCTCCACTGCTGAGACTGCAGCTCTGCACAAGACTTTTGGCCAGCGAAGAAATGAAAATGGTCGTGCCCAACTGAGTCTGGTTTCTCTCAAGGTTTTTTTTCTTCACTTCTATCAGTAAAGTTTTTTTTTTCCCTCTCCGCTGTCGCCACTGGCTTGCATGGTTCAGGATCGGTAGAGCTATGCATCAATGGATTTGCTCTTCAGTGTTTGGACTCTCAGTAATGATTTAAACCACACTGAACTGAGCTGAACTGAACTTAAACACTAAAAACTGAACTACCCTGATCCAATTTATTATGACCATTTATGTGAAGCTGCTTTGACACAATCTACATTGTAAAAGCGGTATACAAATAAAGCTGAATTGAATTTAATTAAGAGCAAGTGAATGGTTTCTCTCCAGTGTGGATCCTTATGTGTTGATTAAGGTGTGATGAGCGGTTGAAACTCTTCCCACACTGAGTGCAAGTAAATGGTTTCTCTCCAGTGTGGGTCCTCATGTGTTTAGAAAGGGATGATGATTGGCGAAAACTCTTCCCACACAGAGTGCACGTTATTGGTTTCTCTCCAGTGTGGATCCTTATGTGTTGATCAAGGTTTGATGAGCGGTTGAAACTCTTCCCACACTGAGTGCAAGTAAATGGTTTCTCTCCAGTGTGGATCCTCATGTGGTGATCAAGGTTTGATGAGCGGTTGAAACTCCTCCCACACTGAGTGCAAGTAAATGGTTTCTCTCCAGTGTGGATCCTCATGTGTTGTTTAAGGTATGATGAGCAGTTAAAACTTATTCCACACTGAGTGCATGTGAATGGTTTCTCTCCAGTGTGGATCCTCAAGTGTTTATTAAGTGATGATGTTTGGCGGAAACTCTTCCCACACTGAGTGCATGTGAATGGTTTCTCTCCAGTGTGGATCCTCATGTGTTTATAAAGGGATGACGATTGGCGAAAACTCTTCCCACACTGAGTGCACGTTATTGGTTTCTCTCCAGTGTGGATCCTCATGTGTAGATTAAAGTTTGATGATTGGCTGAAACTCTTCCCACACTGAGTGCATGTGAATGGTTTCTCTCCAGTGTGGATCCTCATGTGTTTATAAAGGGATGATGATTGGTGAAAACTCTTCCCACACTGAGTGCATGTTATTGGTTTCTCTCCAGTGTGGATCCTCATGTGTAGATTAAAGTTTGATGATTGGCGGAAACTCTTCCCACACTGAGTGCATGTGAATGGTTTCTCTCCAGTGTGGATCCTCATGTGTTTATAAAGGGATGATGATTGGTGAAAACTCTTCCCACACTGAGTGCACGTTATTGGTTTCTCTCCAGTGTGGATCCTTATGTGTTGATTAAGGTGTGATGAGCGGTTGAAACTCTTCCCACACTGAGTGCAAGTAAATGGTTTCTCTCCAGTGTGGGTCCTCATGTGTTTATTAAGTGATGATGCTTGGCGGAAACTCTTCCCACACTGAGTGCACGTAAATGGTTTCTCTCCAGTGTGGATCCTCATGTGTAGATTAAAGTTTGATGATTGGCTGAAACTCTTCCCACACTGAGTGCAAGTAAATGGTTTCTCTCCAGTGTGGGTCCTCATGTGTTTAGAAAGGGATGATGATTGGCGAAAACTCTTCCCACACAGAGTGCACGTTATTGGTTTCTCTCCAGTGTGGATCCTTATGTGTTGATCAAGGTTTGATGAGCGGTTGAAACTCTTCCCACACTGAGTGCAAGTAAATGGTTTCTCTCCAGTGTGGATCCTCATGTGGTGATCAAGGTTTGATGAGCGGTTGAAACTCATCCCACACTGAGTGCAAGTAAATGGTTTCTCTCCAGTGTGGATCCTCATGTGTTTATTAAGTGATGATGCTTGGCGGAAACTCTTCCCACACTGAGTGCACGTGAATGGTTTCTCTCCAGTGTGGATTATCATGTGAATCTTAAGTTTGCTTTTGCTTGCCAAAATCTTTCCACACTGAGTGCAGGTGAAACAATTCTTGTCTCTCCTTTTCAAAATACCATCAGTCTGTAAATGAGTTTTTTCCTCAATTTTGATATGATGTTCCTCCTCTTTCCTCTCATTCTCTTCAATTAGGTCTGAAATAAATAAATAACAGATTAATTTTCATTAAGTCTAAAAATCTCTCATCAAAAGCTGAAAAGTAAAAAGACACTAGAAACATTGGCTACACACACTTATTTTGATGCATGTTAAATGTAAAATAAAATCAGATCATATTTTGTTCAGTCATTAACCTGTACACATTTAAGCAGATTAAATTCATCTTTATTTATCTACTGCTTTTACAATGTAAATTGTGTCATAGTCGCCTAACATAGAAGTTATTGTAAATTGAAATGCTGTCAGTCCAGTTTTCAGAGTTTCTTACATAATTGATCATAAAAGTAATTTTGGTCACATTGATAAGACACAGATTTGAAAGGTGTAAATGGTGTGACGACCCTGGTATTCCAGTTTGGATGTGGCAGATCCTGTTAAGGTGCCATGGTAGCTCCCCAATTGGTTCAAAGCATATAAATGCGAGAGTGAGCTAGCTTCTGCAGGATAGTGTGGCTACTGGCCGTCTTCGCATCAAGACCATCTCTTTATTTTGGCAATCTTATGGTTTTGTTTGGCATTATTTATATGTGTAGTTAAAGTTAGTTATTTTCTTTATTTTCCCCTAGACATTTGTTTGTTTCTTGATTTGTTGTTTTATTAGTTGTGTATAATAAATAAGTTGCATATATAATTTTTTTGTTGTCTGAGCTCTTTTATGTTGCAACTCGAACGAGGGGGTCGTAACAATGGCCTATTTTTATTTGTATATATTCATAATTACAACAAAATGTTTCTCTAAAATTTGTTTAGCAGACAGGGAATACTATGGATAGAATACTATGGATAAGATACTGTGGATAGAATGAAAGAACCGACAGGGGAAAGCAAAGAAGGAGGTGTTTGTTTCTTTATTAACAACTCATGGTTGAGAAACATACATCCAGTTAGATCATTTTGTTCTCCTGATCTGCAATACCTTATGCTTCGGTGCCGACCACACTGGGCACCAAGAGAGTTCACAGCTGTTATAAATACAGCTGTCTACATCCACCCTCAAGCCAACACAAAGCAGGCGCTAAGAGAACTGAATGGGAGCATAAGCGAGCAGGAAACCACACACCCAGTGGCAGCGTTTATTGTTACAGGGGACTTTAACAATGCCAATCTCAGGAAAATCGCTCCAAAATACTATTACCATATCACCACAAACATGCGTGGTGACCGTATTTTGGACCACTGCTATTCTCCGTTCCGGGACGCCAACAAATTCCTCCCCCGCCCACCGATTGGCATATCAGATGACTCTTTTATTCTGCTCTTGCCTGCTTACAGGCAGAAACTGAAACGGGAACCACCCACCCTCAAGACGTTTCAAAGCTGGACGGACCAGTCGGATTCCATACTTCAAGAATGTTTTGATCTTGTGGACTGGGAGATGTTACGGACAGCTTCTGATGACGACATTAAGGGCCTACTCACACTATGCCATCCGTACTGTGCCCAGGCCCGTTTCCTGGATCGTTTGAGAAGTGTGAGTTTCCCGGATCGTTGAGAAGACCCTTAGCTGAATCGGGCTCAAGCACGGTTCACTTGGCTGGCCCTAGCCCGGTTGGAAGAGAAGGGCCTGAGCGCGGTTCACTTGGCCGGTACGTTTGTAGTGTGAGTGCAAAACGTGCCAAAACCCGAAACTGAAAGAGAGACGTGACTTTAAGGGATTGTTTCATATGGATTTATTAATCATTCTTACTGTTCAGTGAACGCAAACTGCCGTAATTTATTAAAGACGCAGACATCTCACCGCACGACAGTTGCGCGCCTTCAGCAAACCTCCTCATTCCTGCAGCACTAGGGCTTTATGATTGTTTATAAGCGCCTAAAGTGGCGGATCTGTTCGGCGAAATATCTGACTGCGTGTAAATGCATCCCTAAGGACTGTTTAGTGAAATATATAATGAATGTCACTGCATATCAGACGACTGAAACGATATAACTAGAGAAATCTCCACTGTGCTGCTGAGTGAGTGAGAGCGCTTCTCACTGAACAGCGCAGCAGCGATGACGTAAGCGTGCCGAGGCCCATTTGTGGTGTGAGTGCAGGCTGTCGGGGGAGACGGGAGGGGGGACAAGTGCGGTTTGGCCCAGTTCGAGGCAACTGTACCTAGTGTGAGTACGACCTAAAGTTTACTCAAGACACCGTTACATGCTTCATCAGAAAGTGTATAGAAGACACGGTCCCAACAAAAACTGTCCATATCTAAACTGTCTAAAAATCTGTCCCTAACCCAAAACCATAGATTAATGGCGAAGTTCGAACAGCCCTATTAGTGTGAACCTCCGCCTATAAATCCAGAAATGCTGAGGAACAAAAACAAGCAAACTACAACCTCAGGTAAACTATCAAAACAGCAAAACATCAATACAGAGGTACAAGGTATAGGGGAGGAGTATGTGGCAGGGACTTAATTACATCACAGACTTTAAAAGTAACAAACCCCTCACTGTGAACATTTCTGCGTCTCTCCCGGACGAGCTCAACTCGTTCTACACTTGCTTTAAAGCCCAGGACAGCACCCACACACTGTGCGCTCCGCGGCTGATACCGAAACCGTCAGCACACTCTATTTCTGTAGTGGACATAACGAGATCTTTTCAGAGCATCCTGAAAGCTACGTCCCAGACCTCTCGCTCTCTCGGCCTGTGGTTCCCACATGCTTTAAGACAGCTACTATTGTGCCCATACTGAAATAATCTAAAACCACATGCTTAAATGACTGACGTCCAGTTGCTCTGACACCCATCTTCAGCAAGTGCTTTGAGAAGCTGATTAAAAAGCACATCTGCTCTGTACTGTCCGCTCACACTGACCCTCTGCAATTTGCTTACAGAAATAATCGCTACACTGATGAAGCAATTGCTTTCACCTTGCACACTGCTCTGTCTCACCTGGAAAATAAAAGCACATATGTGAGAATGCTGTTTGTGGACTACAGCTCAGTATTCAACACTTTAGTGCCTGCCAAACTAGTGGTGAAGCTCAAACTAGTGGTGAACAACATAACCTCATCCACACTGATCCTCAACACTGGTGATCCACAGGGCTGTGTTCTCAGTCCACTCCTCTACTTCCTGTAAACACATGACTGTACAGCCAAACACATCTCCAACGTCATCGTTAAATTTGCTGATGACAGTGGTGGGCCTAATCACAGATAATAATGAGAGGGCCTACAGAGAGGAGATACACACTCTGACGCAGTGGTGTGAGGAAAACCACCTCTCACTCAACATCAGCAAAACCAAGGAGCTGGTGGTGGATTTCAGGAAAGAGAATAGAGAACACACCCCCATCACCATCAACGGGACACCAGTGAAGAGAGTCAGCACTTCCAAGTTTCTTGGAGTACACATTGCTGGGGAATTGACATGGACTGCTCACACAGAGGCAGTGCTAAAGAAGGCACAACAACGCCTCTTCTTCCTCAGGCGTCTCAGGAGGTTTGGAATAAGCCCTCACATCCTCCGCTCGTTCTACACCTGCACTGTGGGGAGCATCCTGTGTGGCTGTATTACCACCTGGGGCCTGTTTCAGTAAGGAGGTTCAAACAACTCTGAGTTTAAACTTGAACTCTGAGTTGATTTACAGAGAGAGATTAAAAACTCAGAGTTTTCGGTTTCAGAATAGCTGATCTGAGTTGGGTCAATCAACTTCGAGTAGACCAACTCAGAGTTAAGCGCGCGCACCGTGACTTTAAAAAGGCATTATCAATGGAGCGCAGACATTACGAGTGACTATGGCAATTACTTATAAAAGAGATCACCATTTCTTTCTCCAGCTGAACTTGATGTTCTCATGCAAAGTTATAGCAAATATGAGCGTATATATTTGAAAAGAAGCAACCATCAGTGAAGAAGAGACAGTTAGCGTGGGAAAACAGCTGCTCAAGTTAATGCCTAATTTCACTTTTTAAGTATTTAAATATTTAAGTATAATAAAATAAGTATTGTAATTTGTGCCGTTTATATATTTTTTTCTAAACTTTTTTTATACATTTATTCGTTTTAAATGATTTAACAGTGCACTTGTGTCTGCCTTTTTTATTGATCAAGTGATAGAGGTTAATATAACATTTAGAAGGTAAGCAGTACTAAAAATAATTTTTAGAAAGAATAATAATCCCATTAATCTAGTTACAATGCATGTCGAAGGTGAATTTAATTTAATTATTTATTAAAAAAGGATAAGCCATTCTAGTACAGTTCTTCTGTGTGTGACTAAAATGTAGGCAATAGCTATGTTTCCACCAAATATATTACATAAATGTATGTGCAAAACTGGAATATTGCATAAAAGATGCGAATAAAATTCCATCCAACGAGTCAAAGAGAAAAAAATTGTCACTTCCTGATTAAACTGGCACCAAATATCAACAGTAAAAACAGAATTTACTGTGGTAGAAGAAGCTGCGTCAATTAATTCTTTATTTAGCCTAATTAATGTACTTGCGCCTCGATGTCAGAAGACAATGCTGAAACACAATGAACACATGGGGGCGTCTGAAGCCATGAGACACGGAGACTCTTGACACGCACCAGACGTTCGGAGGTAATTAATAATATACAATTATACTGAAACAGTTAAGGCATTTTAGAATGACTAAAACAATATTTAAGACATGTTACAGTGTGCTCAGCCTGCTGGGTTGATCATTTACACACATTTTCATTATCATATGATCATGGTCTTTTTTTAATGTACATACACAGCAAATTCATTGGTGTTAAATTTCAAGTGTTGAGGTAATTCAGAGTAAAGTGTTAAAATTCTAGAGTTAGATTGGCATTAGAAGCTGATTTGCCTCCTTGTCACACAG